CTTACCATGAAATCTGAGGATAACAGTTAATTCAACCCCTTCATTTTGCAGAGGCGGAAAATTAGTCCCAAGGTCATCGCTTTAGTTGGTAACATTCGTCACTGTCATTCAGATGGTCTTAGACCCAGCGACAGTGAGAGTGGTCCAAGCTCTGTCTTTAGGTGCCTGCAGGTGCAAGAACCTGGGGGATGGAGGCAGGGATGCTGTGCCTCCCTTGAGCAAGGCCGGAGCCCTGCCGGGAAGTGGTTTGGCTCCCAGAGTGGCCTGAGTGAGGGGAGCCGAACTGCAGGCTCTGGGCAGTTCGTGGGCAGTGGGTGCCTGCTGACCACACCTGCCTGCGGACTTGAAGGCCTGTCGGGCAGCAGTCCCTTCTGGGAGCAGGCCTTTTCATGGCTAGCTGAGTACCCAGCCCTTTGAGCTTATAAATAGATGAAGCAATGGCCCATCCCTAGGAAAGCCAGGCTCATTGCCTCTGGGGTTCAAGGTTCCGTTCTTTGCATTCCTGCCCAGTTGGTCAGAAGAGTATGAGGCAGGGCCTTCCTCGAGGCTCTCAGTCCAAAGCGGTTGAGCCTGTGTAGGGAGGGCTGTCCTGGGCGTGTAAAACTCATGGTGAAACTGGTGTGGTGGCACATGCCTGTAATCCCAGGCACTCTGGGGGGCTGAGGCAGGAAAATCATACATTAGAGCCCAGCTTAGGCAATTTAGGAATTTGGTGAGAACCTGTCTTAGAACTTTAAAAATGGGCTGGTGTTGGTAGCTCAGTGCAGAGACCCTAGGTTCAATCCTCAGAATTACCAAAAGGAAAACACACACCACACACACCCCTACCTCCTGTTATGTTTTGTGCCAAGCAACCTCTTGGTAGACATGGGTTAATGTTGGACTGGTAATTCTGTGAGTCAGTACGGCCTAAACAAACCCTCTGTGGTAGGTGGCATTTGCCATTTGTGGTTTAATCTATTTGTGTGTGGTCATTTGTAACTTTCTGAGGGATGTCCTTTGCACAACCAGGGTCCTGAAACCTTTAGTATATTCATTTTATGGAGAAAACTCTGCTGTGCTATGCACAAATCCCAGGGCCATTCACATCTCTGGTTAGGGCTCCAAGGGGGTCCTCTGCAGGCTTCAGTGGTAGCTGCACGTCTAGCCAAGGAGGTGGTGCTTCCAGAGACCCCTGGCCTGTTTCAGGCTGAAAGTCCTTCAACCTACGTTAGGATGTCATCATGGGGAGCAAATCCAGGGGCACAGCTCAGGAGAGGAGCAGAGCAGCGCTCCTGAGGGGCTGCTTGCAGGGTGTGTCCAAAGCTGCTCTTCTTTCCTGAGTCTCCAGGAAAGCAAGGAAGGAAGAAATCTTGGCCACTTCTGAGGATCTTACAGATGTACCAGGCCTTCTACTAAAGGAACAGATGTGTTTGTAAAATAACCCGCGGCCCAGCATATTTGGAATTAAGGGGAGACCAGGGCAAGGAAGAGGCCAAGCCAGATCACCACTTACAGCCCTCCACTTGCTGAAGGGCATTTCCAGTCAGTACCATTGCGCGGAGCTCTCGGAGAATCCAAATGACAGCAACATGTTGGCGCAGAGGCAGGGGACGTGGAGCTCACTCACTGCCGCCATCTGCCCTCTTCTGAACAGGCCTTGTCCCTCCTTCCCCATCGCTTGTGTTTGCTCTGGCCTGGTCTTCTCATAACTGACCATATCTATCTTCCTTGCCTGTCAGGGACTTTTCACCTGCTCTTCCGTTGTTGGGGTTTCCCTAGGTCCTGGCGTCCATCTCTGCTCACCCCAATGTTTGTTCTCTGCATGGTTGCATTCATTTAGTGCCTTTAGCTATTGGTTCATGATTTGTACATAGGTGGGCTTCCAGGCTCTTGGTGGCTTGTGTTCATGAAAGTGTATGTAGAGCCAAGAGTATAGCTCAGTAGCACAGCGCCTGCCTGGGAAGCATGAGGTCCTACGTTCGATTCTTGGCACACACAAAAAGAAAGTATATATAGTGTTGGGATGGTGTGTATCTTCCCGGAAGCAAAGTATTTAAAAAATTATTTTTTAATACAGCTTTCATCAGATTCACAAAGATACCCTTACCTATAACATTACACGCATCCATCTTAAATTCTTGGATTTTCATTGCCAGCTATACACCAGATATAGCTCTTCAAATTTGTTTTTCCTTCCTTCCTTCCTTCCTTCCTTCCTTCCTTCCTTCCTTCCTTCCTTTTTTTTTTTTTTTTTGCAGAACCAGGGATTGAACTCAGGCCCTTGCACTTGCCAGGCAAGTGCTTATTCTACTGAACCATCTCTCCAGCCCCTTTCCTTTCCTTTCCTTTCCTTTCCTTTCCTTTCCTTTCCTTTCCTTTCCTTTCTTTCCCTTTTTTTTTTTTTCATTTTTCCTTTTCACCTTTTTGAGACAGGGTCTCGCTATACAGTTCAGGCTGTTTTTGACCTCACTTTGTAGCCCAGACTGGTCTTGAACTCTCAGTGATCCTCCTGCCTCAGCCTCCCAAGTGCTGGGATTACAGGTGTGTTCTGGCTATCAAGATTTTAACAGTTCCTCAAAAATTTTAAATAAGACTGAGTTACATGAGTAAGCTGTATTTTTTCAGATTATATTGAAAGATGACTTGATTATCACAGAAGATATAAACAAGGTAAAACTCAAGTGTAATTCAGGTTTCTGTAGATCACCGTTCTTAAAATTGTAGTGTACAGCGGGCCCCAAATATCTTCAAAGGATCCATTTCCCTGTAGATGACTAAAACCTTGCCTGATATCAGACCCCTATCACACTGTTTTTCCTATCCATACGCACCCATGATAATGTTTAATTTACACGAGAAACATTAGTAGTTATAATTGCTACTAAAAGTACAACATTTATAACAATATGCTTTAGTAAAAGTTTGTGGGTTTTTTTATTTATTTATTTTTTTAATTCCAGACAGGGTCTCAATATGCAGTTCAGGCTGGCCCTAAGTTCACTTTGTATCCCAGACGGGGCTTGAACTCCCCAACAATCCTCCTGCCTCAACCTCCCAATTTCTGGGGTTACAGGCATGCGCCACCATGCCCAGTTAACAGTTTGTGATTTGGAGGCATTCTTTTTTTTTTTTTTTAAATTTTATTTATTTATTTATGCGTGTGTGTGTGTGTGTGTGTGTGTGGCCAGCTCAGCCCACCAGGGGGCGGGGCTGGCTGGCATG